GTCTTCTAGTCAGAGAATGATATGTTATTATGATTTAGTATGCAGTTAGTATTGAGAGTGACTACTCTCATTTTCATATCCGATGAAAAAATTAAAAGATTGTCTAATAAATTTTTTTTGTGTAAAAGTAATTTGAATGATGATTCTATCTTAGATCAGAAACAACTAATACCATTGGCAAGACTTGTGGTTGCCATTTTCGACAACAATATATTGATCTTCGAATTAGTTATGTTATATCTTTACAAGATTTTTAGAGTTAGTTTCGTATGTGAAATCTCAAAAACTAATATTAGCGCTTTATAATAAAACAAAAATGTTTTAAAATTTTTTTTGATCTAACAATCTTCTTTGATTTTAAAATCTTTATGACTTTTTCCACTTTGTTCATTAGAAAGTCCAGTGCAAAAATAAAATAAAATCTTCATCTTGTTAATTATCTTGACGAACTAACTCGAGGTGGTGTATGTATAAATCATAAATAAGATGATGTTTGAATGATAATTTTTTTTAATCTTAAGATGACTTGGTTCTTCACGGAAACAATGAAACGCAATATTTATTATTTTTCTGTACTTTTCGATCAATACGTTCTACTTTGTTGGTAGTAGTGAATGCTCACTGTCAGAAATATGTTGAAACAACTGTTGAGTTATTTTTTTTTCCTTTTGAAATCGGTCATATTTAATTCATTAAAAATGTCCAATTGCAATAATCAAACTGAACAAGTTCAATTAAAATGATGGGTGCTTTCAGTTACTTGCTTCTAAATATTCTAATCAGGAATATCTATCGCGAACAAAATTCTGCCGCTATTGCCATGGTGATGACGATGTAGTAGAGGTAAATTTTCAGCCATCATGAACATCCCTGATTTCAGTGTGAAAACATTCAGCTCACTAAAATTTCATTACTAAAGCGAAAAACTAAGAAAATGACTTCACTATTGCATCAGTACATTAGAAAGTGTGTCTACTCGAAATAGCAAAGCTCTTATAACATTGTCTTTCGTACTTTTAACTTTTCGATTCAAATAATTGTAAAAATCATCATATGGCTTTTCAATGGAGTTAATGTTAAATTTGAGTTCATTGGGAGAAACAAATAAAAAGCTCTTGGTTATTTTTACATGATCAGAAGGAAATCTCTGTATGAAGATGTGTTCCAAAAAAAGCAACTCAAGAATGGTTAATTAATTCTTTCAAAACAAAAAACTTTTTTTCTATATGAACTCTTAATGCTTTGCAGATGTAAAAGTATTGAGGTAGATATTTCTGATATGATATCTAAAGTATTTACAACTCATATGTCCCAGATTATTACAGAAGCATTTGTTTTTCATTTTAGTGCTATCAACATAGTAATACTTAAATCTGAATTAATCGTATATTACCTGCAGTAATGTCATCTTCTTCATCTTCGATATCCATGGCGATTTCATCGTTATTGTTGCTCTCATTCTCCCATTCATTGTCATCATCATTCTCTTCGTTATCTTCTTCATTATAATACAGCTCTATTATGTGAAATAGCAATACAATTGGTTCCAATAAATTGTATGTTAACTAAATTGGTTTTTTATTATCGTATTTTTGCAGTTCTTGTTGCTGTTGTTGGTCAAAACATTCTGGTAATTTTTTTCGTAATGATGGTGTTATCATTATATTTAACCATGTAAACAATAATTCTTCAGCATTAGATATGTTATCATTCGGTAATGATGATGGAAAATATGTATTTGATAATTGTACAATATGTTCCAAACGTTGTAACTGAAGACGATCAGGAGTTTTTAATGCCAAATATAGTAATGATCTGAGATACCATGTATAAACTTTGATTTTTGAATAATCATCTGCTAAAGGTATTTTTATACGAGACCATCGCGTCAATTTGTTGAAACATTTTGTCATTTGTTTTATCGTTTCGACTGGTTTCAAACGAAATTGTTCTAATTTTTCAGCTGCATATAAACAGTTTTCTTCAGATATTAGGCTTAACATGTCAATTTTAGATATGAAATAATTGGGCATTGTTTTCGATTTTAAAACGCATGATAATTGTTGAATTATTTTTAAAAAAATTTCTGTTTGATTTTCTGTTTTTTGTATCATGCGATTATTTTTTTCCAGGTATGTAAACAAGAATGTTTTTATATGATGAGATGATAATATGTCTAAAAAGAAGAAAAACCCAAATATATTTCCAAATGTGGACGTTATGTAAGCTTGCTAATAGTCACATAGATATGTCATAATGTCTATCAGCTAATTGATTCATTGTTTTAGATATCTCTTCCTCTTTGTTTTTTCAAATGCATATTTTCGAAGCTTTTCCATATGTTATAACGGCTACAGTTTCATTAAAACTGTGTATTTTGGGTTCTTGTTTTCATAACCTTCCATCAAATTATTATAACGTTCTCTACAAACAGTCGATGTTCAATAATAGGTGTAGAATAGTGATTGAACTAGTCTTGAAATTCATATTTGAATGGTGAGCAAATTTAAAATCTCTGATTGGGTCGGTAGATTTTACTGTTGATAAGAGGAGCCGGCAAAAAACGTTTCACTTGATTTTTGAATGATTATCAAATATTTTTCATATTTTGTGAAGTTCATTATAAAATAGTCTATGAATATTTGTGTTCAATGCTCCTGCTCTGTCATCAAAAATACTTTTTTTTTTGAAAATAATCACATTTAAATATCGAGGTTTTGTTTTCATTTATTTTTTTCTGTCACTGAAATAGTAAAATGAATTCATGCAGAAGACGCATTTTTCCATTGAACGCATTGATGTTTTTTGAATATCATGATGTTCATTTCTTGCGTTTCTGTTAAAATCGCATTCTTATATGAACTTCGCATTCAAAGTCCAAAGTTGTCAAATTCAAATTTTGAAAATCAGAAATTTACTAAGAGATTTTTACTAAAAACCAAGATTAAAATTCGAAGATTTTTATTGAAATCAAGAAATTATTTAATACAATGGGGGCCAATTGAATTCCCCCCCCCCCCCCTTTGTTTTTTTCATTTTTTGTTACTATATTTCTTTTATTTTTTAGCCTATCATATATAGAGAGAAAGTCCAGAACACGCTGCATCTTTTGATGTATTTACATCGAACATCGAATACGGTTTAAAGAATGAAAAGTGTATTAGAAAAAAAAGTAACGTTTTCATTTTGTCCAAAAAAAGAAGAGTTCATGTTTTTGTAATAACTTTTGATAGGAATGAGATAGAGATCTGCGGTTTTCATTGTTAGAAAGAGGAGATGAGTCTGCATCGAATCGTATATTTCAGATTTTTCTGACAAACTTTTTCAGAGTAATTTGGCAACTTCTTTTTTAAAATCGACATTTTTTGTATTTTTTTTCATGGAAAATGCACCTTATCCTCTCTAAAGCACCGACTTTTTAAAAAAATTGGCTGTAGATTCTGGAAAAACTTTTCAGAAAAACCTGAAATGTATGATTCGATGCAGATTCATCTCCTCATTCTAACAATGAAAGCCGAAGATCGCTCTCTAATTTCTATCAAAAGTTATTCCAAAAACAGGAACTTTTCTTTTTTTGTAGTAGGTATTAGCTGAGTATATATATTGGAAAAAATAAAAATGTCACTTTTTTTTTTGTAATACACCTTTCACTCTTTAAACCGTATTCGATGTTCGATGTAAATACATCAAACGATGCAGCGTGTTCTGGGCTTTCTCGCCATATATGATAGGTTAAAAAATAAAAGAAATATAGTAACAAAAAATGAAAAAAACAAAGGAGGGGGAATTCAATTGGCCCCCATAGTAGTCTTATCTCGAAGAAAACTGAAACGTTTGTTCACATAAATGCTTATTAATTTGTGCTACCAGGTTACCGATGGCAAGTTTCTTCGAAGTGATATATAAGAAAAAAGAGAAGTTAATTATGTGTACTTTATTTTACTAATCATTTCACAATCGTTCATCAAAACATAATCAACAAAACAGAAAATGAAGTTTACTTAGGATTCTATATGAAACAGACTAAGATGGGCATATGTGTTCAATAAACTATCAACTATACCGTTATTGTCATTTTTTCAACATAACTATATTTTTCTGATGAGCAAATTTGTTTCAATAGATCTAGGTTATTATAAAGATAATTATAAAACACTATAATTTTTATGAGTTTTTGCTTTGATTTTTAATTCGGCACTGACAAGATTAAATTTCCTGTTGTTGCGATTTCTATCCAACAAAATCTCATAAGACTCAAGATCGATTCACACGAAAGGCACTTAAGACTAGTATAGAAAAGCGGACTGAATTAGGTTTTGTAAATGAGATAGTCTTTCATTGTCAAGAAGGCAAAGCCCATTAACAATTGCGTTATATTGATAGATGTTTCTTGTATTCTTTTGAGATGACAAAAATTTTAAGAAACAAGAGAAACTCTTAACAGCCAGCTGCGGGATTCAGGAGATTTGGCAACTCTGTTCATAGTAGGCATGTACCGAGCTTTCTTTTCGTTACTCTCAAACACGTTTATATTAACAGGTTGAGCTCTGTTACAGGTATGTTCCTCACATACGTTCACATCGCGTTAGCTATTTCTCTTGCTTGGTTCTATGCACATTCTTTCCTTTCTCTAGCTCGATATCTCTTTTTTCATTCAGATTGTTTGATTCTTTTTCTCATCATCATGTTTGTTATTTTCGATTCATTCGTGTTAGTGATTGCATAGAGAAGAGTCGAATAAAAGGGACCCCTTATAAACTCTGAAATTAAAAGCTGAATCTTGTGGCCTAACTTATCAACAGATAGAGGAAACATTGCTCTACACAATGAGATGCTCCACAACTCTGTACTACAGTTACTCTAATTTTTATTTGCCTTATAAAACATATCTGAACCGAGCTCCGAGCCAAGGCTCGGTCTATAAAATTCTCATAAAAAAACAAAAGAATTGTTTCACAGAGCTTGGATACATCTCATTTTATTGAGTAACATTTTCTCTATCTTTTGATATCCTGGTTCATATGATTCAACCTTTTATTTTACATATTAAGCTATTGGTATGAAAGTGTTCTAAAATAATGCAAAAAAGCTCGGTACATGCCTAGTTCATAGCAATTCAGTCAACGGACAGTGAATTAGTACCTGAATAACGTTACTTATCTTAGCATTACGGATCTGCGATGTTTCTACTTACTGTGTAGGAGAAGAAATGCTAACTTCTCTCATAATATATTTAAGTATTTCAACATTCATTATCAATCAAGTTTCACAATAAAGAAGGATAATAAAGACATAATTGGGCGTAACATACCTGGTGCTAATTCTTGTACAAATGACTTTAATAATAAATAAAACTGTCTTTGTTTTTTAGTCCATGAATTTGTCAATAATACTTCTGCAAAACTTAACGATAATCGCCATGTTAATGGATCTTCTTCAACTTCATTAATCGTATTCCACCGTTTAGGTACTAAATGACATACTGAATTTGATACCATTTCAACAACATCTATGGATGGCCATTCTTTTGAACGATTAAGCCATTGTTCACGTATATGATATGGTATTTTTAACATTGGCAATGAAAACACAAAATCTTGTGATGATGTGTCATCCTTTAAAGTAGTTGAAACAGCCGGTCCATGCAATTCTATCAAACATGGACCACGTTCACTATATTTTAAAAATTCATTATGCAATAAATCTGTTAATTTTTTGCTAGATACATATTGTTTATCATTGCGTTTTTCAAAGATATCTAGATTTTTCAACGTTGAATGATATTTTGTTTTAGAATTATACTCGATATAATAGAAACCAGGATATTGTGTTATTTCAACGAATCCGATTTGTGATAATGATCCTGTATCTATATCTGATACAAAAGCATCTTGTGGCTCAAACATAATATCTGTATCACCACCGGCGATTGAAAATTCTAGAGCAGGATAAGGAACAAAAAGTATATATTTCTCACTGAATTGAAGTTATACTCAAGACATGACTGTGTCAAGTCTCAGGCACTATTTTTTTTTGGCTTATATTATATCATTCGATCGAACCTAACGATGCGATGAGAAAAATGTATATCAATAACATTCCAAAATCTAATCTCAATTAAATCAGAATTTGAAAGAGTACCGAAACCTTAAACTTTGAGAAAACACGTATGTATTAAAAAATAGTTGCTGATGATTAAAATTCTATGAACAAAAAATAAATCAAATGATTTTGACAGGTAGATGTATTATATTCAAATTTGGTCAGTATTACAACGAAATTCAACTAAAAAAAAAAGCAATTCATTTTTTTATTATTATTAAAAACTAGCTAATAGTCAGAGTAAGACTAGGAACTGTAAAGGAATTTTTTTAAATAATTAGTTTACTGTTTTCACTGAAAATTCGATCTTCAAATGCTAAGGTATACTATTTTTTTTCATCAGATCTTTGAATGCCATCAAATGATGTATACATAAGCAGAGAACAAAATAGTGCTGGAGTTTTGAAATAGTGCGGACTTACGATCGTCGTCTGATTCAACAAAATATTCTTCAACTAGACCACTTAAACGACTACCAGATAATTTAGCTATAAAACCATTTTTCCAATTTAACGCATCAGCAAATGCTTCTTTAAAATGAGTGGTATTAATTTGATAACAATATGCAAAGTCGTCAATAAAACGCTGCGAGCAGTAATCAAGTAAAATAGTCAAATATTCAGTTTCATTCAATTGATCTTTATATTGCTCATCCGACAGCGTTGATTTATAGGTTAATATCTAAATAGGTACAACAGATAAAAGACTTACACAGCTAAGATAAAGTGATATGTTTCAACTGCGACATATTTTTTGGAAGCGTATATTTTATAGTTAGAAATCGAACTTCGTCATCGATCAGACATAATATGTGGAAAACAAAGCTTATTTTTAGCATTTTTAAACTTTCGTTTTAATCATAGTAATAAGAAACTTCAACTATATCGATATTTTGCAACTTAAAATTTCATTTTTACTCCCTAGCTCTTACCACTGATGTTGTAAGATGACGCATGTTTTCTCATAGACTGAAAGAATTTCTGTAAAACTATTATCAATCTCAAGATAAAAGAGCAGTTATAGATTTTGAGTAATTCTTTTTCCCACAAGAAGAAGATATGATTCGTACTTTATAAAATGAGAAACTTTTAATAATTGAAAATGATTGAATAAAACTTTTGTCGCAAGTTCAGCGTTTTTTCTTGAGGATCTACACATCGAAAATACAGAAAGAGGACAAAGACGCTTGAATTTTTGGATTGCTTTTAGTTTTGCAAATTTTTTGTTTGTACTTTCATTTTTTAGCTTTCTTTAATTTTGAACTTTTAGATTTTTATGCTTCAGATCTTTGAATAACCTATTAGAATTGTAAATGTTTTTTTTTTATTATTATTTCAAAGCAATTTTCAAAAACTGAAATCTACTGAAGAATGTGTATCAGAGCTATCATAATCATATTCTAATTCAAACGAGTGTGAAGAATTACGTCACATCAGTTATACAAGAGATATTGTTATCGCATAGTTTGAACTTACTTGACGAATTATTGGCTCAGATATGCATTTCATTGGATGCGATTTTCAATGTTGTAAACTTTCTTCCCCATTATTATAACATGCATCACATAAATCATAATTTTTGCATATTTCGCAGCAATATCGCAAACCTTCGAAATCCTTCGCAGCACAATAATCACACACAATGCCTAAAAAATGAAAGTAAAATGCCGAACATAATTAAAAAATTGAGACCAATCCATAAATAAACGTATGTGTCACATACATTTGTTTGTTGGCATGATAATAGTTGTGTAGAAGAGCTAAAAATGAAATGTAACTATTATTGTAAAGTAAGGCGATTTAGATTTCTCCTAATCATCCTCAGTCGCAATGGGACTCATAAGAATAAGAAAGAACAAGGGGGAAACAGTGAACTTTTGTACTTCAAGTTACTTTTCGGTACTTTCAAGTACTTTAAACTACTTTTCAAGTACTTTAGAGAAACTTTCAAGTACTTTTCGCGTACTTGGAGCTACTTTAAGTAACTTTGACGTACTTAGAAGTACTTTGAGACTTGATCTACTACAAAACTTCTTAATATAACTACAAAAATACATTCTTTATACAGTAGTTTATAATTGTTTTTGTTTTTCCCAACGTATTCAAGAGAAAATAGTAAAAATATTCGAATCAAAACAAGTGTTGCAATGATTCATTCAAAATAAAAATATAAAATAAGACACCGAAGATCA